TTTGAAACAATAGTTTTAAAGAAGAGGAAAGCTTCCTAAATACAAGTACCAAGCACGACAGGGACCTTTAAGAAGTTTAGTATCCAGAGATAATTAAAATTTTTCAAAGCTTGTCTTGTTGATAAAGTTTGAAGATTATGTATTTGAATAAGGCTTAAACTCTTACACACTGAGCACTAATCACAGAGATCCACAGAGATTTACAATGGTGATCTCCCATTGGTGGTTACAGGAACAAAGGTCAGCACCACGCTAATTTAAGGCTAGCTACTTATTTACCTGAAACAATTTGATATTAGACCTTTAAGTTCTCAAAATCTAGCACAGTTTTACCTAGAATCCAACAGAATTACAAAAAATCCTAAGCAAACACAATTAACAGTAGACCCCAAACATGGTATATACCAAAGGGAAAAAAAACAACAGCCTGCTATAGCCTGCATGCAATGTCTCCTCATAAAATTACTGAGCTGCATGACCTGCAAACATGAGATTCTTTCGAGCTAATGGTTAATATTATTAAATTATTAATAACCTAGGAATTTCAACAACTAAAATCAGACTATGCTGGTATTTGTGCAATGCATACCAAAATAAGCCGTTCTTTAATACGTTCTGTAGGACTGGAGAAGATCTGCAGTGCCACACGAGCTATTTCATCTACATAAATAATTTATTCTTTCTGCATTGCTCATATTTATCCATTCTAACCTACAGCTTTTACAATTTTACATATACTACAAACACAACTTACATCTTCAGATACATTTCACCATCAAATACATGCTACAAATACCATTTGTTAAAAGCAACCCGCAGCATCTTTAGCTTAAAAAAAAAAAAAAAAAAAGGAAAAAAGGTAAAAGAACAAATACCCTTATCCTTCCAACTGCTCGGCTGACTGTCCATCTCTCCCAGCGATCTACCCTCCAGCTGTGATTATCAATTATGCATACCAAGAGGACAGCTGCAAGAGGAGAAATCTACAGCCCGGGATGGCAAACATGGGCTTCCCCAGCAGCGTCTGCAGTCTGCTGCTGCACTGGTGCTGCAGGAGGCCGGTCAGCTGACGGCGCGGGGTGTGGAGCGCGGCTGACGCAGTGCGAGCTGTAACCAGGCTGCTAACGCTGCTCCGGCACCCAGGCGGGGAGGCAATCCCCGGCTGCTGCAGCCATTTGCTTCTCACCGTTCAACAGAACCGAAAAGATGCAGGGCGGAGGACGAGAGCGCCGGCACCCGCACGAAGGGAGGCAGCAGCTGGCTCGACCCCGCGGAGCAGCACCGGGAGCAGCAGCGGTGCAGCGAGGCTCAGCGCAGGCTAACAGCAGCCGGAGCACCCTAAGCAGCTTTTCACAACGGCGTGGAGCTCCGAGTGGCAATCCAACACGGGAGCATGAACAGATTGCTTTTCAAGCTATGGTTAAAGCACACTCACACATCTGCTCTGTGTAGGCTTTTCCCTCGTTTTAAAAACAACTGTCTGGCTGCGTATGTGACTAACAGACATCTCTGTAACGCACCTCTCCTGTTAAATAAAACAAAAAAGCCTGAAGGAAAACACGGTAGGACCTTACCCATGCCTGTAATAAAAGCAAGGGGCTCATGAAGAATACAGGTCTTTTTTGCTGGTATCTTTAGTCGTCATGAACCTTTCAGACATATTTAATTTCAGTGGAGCACAGACAGAGCAGCTCTCTTGCCCCCTGCCTAATGCCTGCAGACTAACACCTCCTCTTTTTATTTTAAATCAACATCCTATGTTGTCAGCTACAGATCTGACAATTAAATTATCCCATCGCTTAAATAAAAATGAGAACAACCCATAGGTTTATACTACTAACATGCAAGAAGAAACACAAAGTATTGCACAGACACGAGACGAGCAGGAACTAGAAACTCAAACTCTGGAAGAGCTGTGAGATCCATGTTGTCCTTCTGTTTTCCATTCACTGTGGAAAAATGTATGGCTTTTCTCTAGCATGGAGTCTCTCTTTAATACTTGTGGCTGTCAAGAAGAAAAAGACACTAAAAACTCCCCAGTGCTGCTCTAAAACCTCTTAAAAAAAATAAGCTATTTTCAAAAGAATGAGAAAAGGGCATTCAGACATCTCCATGGAAATCCTGCAGAATGGCTGGGATGGGGATGCTGATTGCTCCATAAAGAGCCACTTTTAGTTTTCCAGTAGAGGAGACAATCTCACATGGAGAAAGATTACCACAAAATTAACTGAAAACCCTATATATTGCTTCAATTACTACACAGATTTAAAGACTCCATTTTATGGCATGATTGGTTACGTATATTTTTAATTTATAGAAGATAGGCATTTTATTCTCAATTCCAACAGGCAAATCAAAACCCAGACCATAAGAGGGGCATGCGAAACATACACTTTTCACCCTATAGTGAAAAAGTACAAAACACATCTAAAAACCTGCTTCTGCCTCTGAGCTGAAATTCCCAATAGTGACTAGAAGCCACCAAAAGCTGTGTTTCTCCCCTCACTCTTCAGATAGCTGCACTGTCACTAAATTAATTAAATCTTCATGCTTTCAGAAAGTTCCTTCCGTCAGTTGCCAGATTTCTAGACACACGACCAAAACCTCATCGCTTCTCCTTCGCCTTCCTTCCCCACATCCTTCTCCAGGAAGGCTCGTGCAGCACGGGCGCTGAGCCACGCCGCCAGCCCTGCCTCCCAGCCCACAGGGGCACCATCTCCCTGGGCAGGAATTTCTCCCTGGCCTCCTCAGCCGGCACGTCACTATTTGCGTACTCAGCCTTCATTGCTACCACTCCACGCCAATGATACCTAAAACAAAGTCAGAATGCCCCTGCGCTCACATCTCCCGTGCCAGGCAAGATTCACACCCCCCTGTAACGCTACTCTGCATCTGCACTGTGCCCGGAGTCCTGCCTAAGCTTCACTGTGTCTGCATGTTTCTGCCCCAACATCCAGGCTAGAGCTCCCCAGCCAACAGGCTGGTTACAGAACGACATTACCAAGCGACCCAGACAACTCAGACAGATGCAATCAAGTTCAAAGCGCGTCCCTCTGCTGATGCACCTATGTTCAAAGGGACTGCACGGCTGCAGGGCGGGTGCCTTACTCACCAAACCGTCATTAAATCTCCCCCAGCAGCTGCCTGTTACGTTCCTGACCTGGAGCAGGGGAACACTTGGATGGTTACCTGATTCTGCTCACGCCTGACATGGCTCTCAGTGCTGGCCACCCATCTGTGCTTCTGGGAAAGCTGATAATTTACCACAAACACTCCATTTTCTCCATAATTCTTCCACACCCAAAACGCCTCGCTCTGAACTCTGCAAAAGCCTTTACCTCTCAACAGGGGTGACCTGAGCTCCAGTGAAACACAGCAGGTCTAGGGCTTTCCTTCAGAAGGACTTCACTCAAGGTTTTTGCTTTTAATTCTTCCTGCTCCTCCCCAGAGTCTCTGCACTGGAAGAGAAGTCTTTATTTATGATGCCCTCAAGAGCCAAATAATCTAAAAATATAACCAGGTGAAAGTAAATCAAGATTTTATGTTGAATCAAATGGTATTTTACAAATAACCTGCTCCCGAAGGAAACTGATCCGAGGCATTCTAGGGTATTTTTCCCTCAGTCAAATAAAAAACAAAACCAATGCTTCCCATCTGCTGAATGGCTCTACCTAAGTGAGCTACAAATAAACAGAAATGAACCAAGTGGATGCAGCGCTGGTGCAAGACAGCATTTCGAATTTCTTTTACACTTCATGTAACAGCAACAACCTGGCTTGCTGTTGCAGAACCACAGGATGTATTTTATTTCTGCCCTTACTGTCTGGGAGTAAAAAGAAAAGCTTTGCCACGATTACCACTCAGCTACCCTCTCAGAGCACAATGAATGCGCCCCCTCAAAAAGATATGAAATATGTAAGGTATCAGTACTTTGCTGTATTTTTGTAATTCAAGTACTGAGCACTGTTATCACATACAAACGAGAGCTGTGTAAGCCTGTACAATCTAGTGTTAACCCCAGCACATCCAAACACATCTGCAGAGAATGATTTTTCAAAAGCACCACGAAACATGGGTTTCCTGTGAAACTGACTGCCTGACAGTCAGCTTCTCAAAGCCAGTTTCTTAAACTTCCTGCAACACTTGGCACGAACAGTCTGAGTAATTTAAACTGCCTGCGGAGTTACACTGAGGTACACAACCACGTGTCACGAACACGAGTTTAGGTTTTGGGGACCCTACGGCATACTTTGAGTCTGCAATTTGGTCAAATAAAGAACTCTGTGTGCCATGCATCAAAAAAAGGTTATGGAACGGTGTTTTTCTATCGTATTCATGCGAACTAACTGCCTGTATCCGGAAGTAATTAGGTGTTATAGTGACGAAAGCCTGCACAACAAAAGGGCTAAGCTTTGTAACAGGCTCCAACTCTGCGAACTGTTAAGTGAACTTCAACATGGCAGAATTTCTCCAAACCTTGAACGCAATCCTCTGGAAGTCATGTTGACCTCCTGTTCCTTCGCAAACACTAGGTGGCATCAAAGCCCTCCTTAATGAACATGCTGTGAAAGGAGCGCCCACAGCCCCCGCTGCACCACAGGCCTACGCACACCCCCACGGGAACAAGGCCTGACAAGGCCTGAGCGAAGCTGCAGCTGCTGGGGCGCCGGGCGGCAGCACTGGGACAAGGAGGGAAGGGCCCCTCTGAGGGCACAGCAGTTTTACAGAGATGGAAAATACAGGTTTTAAAGCCCAAATTGAAAAATGAAGGCAAAAAAAAAAAACAAACAAACACGCTTTTCATGATCTCTTAAGGCGACACTCGAGTGTTCAACAGTCGTAGGCACTGGTGTTGCAGAGTGGTCTTTGCCCTTGAAACTACTCTCAGTAGTACCATCTTAAATGGAGATAGGCTTCTTTAGTTTAGTTCTGAATTACTGTGGCAATTTTTTTAAAATCTGTGCCGCCATGACGTACACGGCCCCTGTGGTCTGACACCATTACAGAACACAACAGGCAGCCCACAGCTCTGTCAGGCAGCATTAAACAAACCCAGTGCTACCGGCCAGGCTGTTAAAAGCTTTGTGTGCTTTACTGGGGTGATGGTTTTCATTAAAAAACATAATCTGCAGTCATTTTGGGGTTGCTGTTGGCTCCCTGCAGTCCACTGGGACAGGCAGAAGTTAGAGCTGCAGGTGCACAGAGATATGCTTGCATTTAGGTCAGCTTTCAACAAACAGGAGCGGTATTTGAGAACATCACAGTACAGCGAGACTCAGAAGCACACACACACAGATCGGCTCCTGGCCCTGTGAATGACCCCCTTCCTTTCTGAGAGAGTGGGAAGCAACTAAGTGTTCTTTGCTTTGTTACTCTGTTTGCTACTTTGTGTTTAAGTAATTGGGTATTAAGATTAAATTTTATTCAAGGCTTGTGGTCAGAATCTGGAGGCAGGTTCCAGAAGCCCAGTTCCATGTTCCATAACACAGTAAACATGAGCAAAAAACAGCACATACTTTAAAAAGCAAACATAAATCTAGAAAAAAAAAGGATGATTTTCATTTCTTATTCTCATCTATTTAACTTTAAGAAAATGTTCCTCTATAAGAAGACAGATAATTATTTTTTCTTCCCAAGCAATACAGCATGTCAAAAAGAACAACTGTTTTATAGGTTGAATACCTCCACCGACAGAGACTGCAGACAGCTCCCCAGTTCCCAGCCCCCTGCCTGACCCAGCTCCTGCCCCTCAGCTAACATAGAAGCAGGACAGATGGGTGCCCTGTCACAGCATCGTGCCACTAGACAGGAGAACGCAGACAGTCTTCAACTCCCTCCTCTCCTTTCATGCGCAGTTCCATACAGACAGAACAGCAACAGCTGTGTCCTTGTCAGACCCAAAAACTTCCTGTTAAAAGAACTAACAAAAAAGCTAAAATATATACATGTAACATTCAGGGTTTCTTTTTGTTTGTTGGTTTTAATCTCTTAACTAACATTTTTGCAATAAGGCTTTTTGCCCAAACATTTGATTTTATTATAAAAACATAATTCTGCTTTCTGCAGTAATAGGTTTTAGTGGCAAAGCTTCTGGTGCTAGACTGTAAAGCAGCAGCAGAGTACTGTGACACCAGAAAGCAAAGTACTCCTCTGGTCTACAAGAAGCTGGAGCTCCACAATCCACACAATCCGTTCAGTGTAGAACGCAAGGGAAAATTGACAGCAGTCTTATCCTTTCTTAATTCTCTGAAATATTAACTACATTGAAATGCAAGTCCCACATGAAAGTTATCATCTCTGCTGTATGTAAACCAATTTTAATGTTTGCAGGATACTGATCTTCTTACTGGCCACTTTCCTACTAACCTGAACAAGTAACTCCCTCATGTGTGCTGTTTATTTTAAACCACTGGCCTTGATCTAATAAAAGCTGCAAGTCATGTTGAGTGGAGCTGTATGGTTCCTTTTCCATATTCCAAACACAAGTTGTACATATCACAGCAAAAATGATATTGTCCTAGATTTCAAAGTCTGATGATTAACTGAATTCTGTATAAAGAAAAACACCCTTCAAATTGTGCACATGGAGCAGACTGAGACACCAGATTCTGCTTACTATCATGTAGTAAGAGCAAATTTGGAAGGCCATCTAATGCCCAGCCTGCAGACAATCACAGAAGAGCTTGCAGGGAGCAGTGACTTTTTTCTACGTCAACAGATCACCAGCAGGAGAACTGAAGGAGAAACCTGAAGACAGCGAGTCCAGCCCTGATAAACAGGAAAAAAAAAAGTACTAAAGCAGTCAGAATATAAAAAAGTTAAGAGTGCAGGCACTAACTTTTTTGTTACCCTCAACCTATACAGGGAAGTTTGCAGAACATGACTTAAAAAAGATTAAATCATGACATGCTTAAGTGTAGCTGAAGAATTACAAAGATTAGTGAACTGCAAGACAGTGTACACAGATTACCTGAAGATTTACTCAGCTTTGCTGAAAATACAGCAGTAGGCTTTTCCTTTTCTTTAATTGAAGCAGCTTCTCTCTCAGCTTCCTTCTCAAAAGCTTCTGGTTTTACTACACTGACTATCTCTTTTTCAGTGGATACAGGTAAGGTATCTGTGGCTGGTAAGGACAACATGGATGCTTCAGGCACTTCTCTGTCCACTGCCTCCAAGGACTTTTTCAAGACACGAGCATCTTCTTCAGCTTTAACTTCTACATTCTTTATAGACAGATCACAGGGTAGCTCTGGGCAAGGCAACTGCCTCTTCTCATCTTTGATCTCATTACTGATATCTTCGCTTTCATCTTTGTGCATTATTTCTCTGTCAGCAACTTCTGCCACAAATTCGGGAACAGTTTTAGGATCAGCTACCATCACAAAGTCTTCTGCTACTGAGATTGGGGAAGACTCTGTGGATGAGACACCTTTGCTGTCTCCTGTTTTTGGTTCTGTAGCAACAGATACATCAGCTGAGTAAGTCATAGCATTCAGCTCTTCCATTTGAAGGGGAATCTTCTCTGCCTTAGCTATTTTTGTAGGTGTTGGCTCAGATGGCTGCGTGGCCACACTTTTGGAAGAGTCCAGTTCGGCTGGGAAAGACTCCAGATAAGGCTTGCCTGGGGCAGCTACTGAATCTACAAGTTGTTCTTCATGTTCATCATCAGTTACAATGCTCTCGGTTGATTTACTTTTTAAGCTGAGAGACTGCTCTTCACTTTCTTTCTCAGGAAAGTCAGATATCACCTCGCTATTAAACAAGTCAGATTTTCCAAACTGTGAAGACAGTTTTTCAACAAACTCCTTGTGTTCAGGCACATCCTGAGAAATGCATTCTGTTACTGGCATCTTTGAATAATCTGTTAAAGATGAAGAAGCAGATTCACCAGAGACCTTTGTTTCCTTAATTAAGTCACATGCAATAGATATATATGGAGTCTCTGTATCTTCAGGACTGGCACTACTCTCACGATCAGCTTTAAGTGTCAATTCCTCTTTTGCTTCTTGGGCCTTTGTCGATGGTACATTCACTGCTTCCTGGTATAAGGGAGGTTTTTCTGCCTCTTGCTTTACATTCTCATAAGTAGTAGTAGGAATAAATGTTTCTAATGGGGAAGCCTCAAGCTGCACAGTAGATGTTTCTGTACCAGCAGTCCCACTGCTTAGCGGGGCTTCCATGACAATATCAGGCAATACTGGTGATGGAGCAGCTTCCGACCCTTCGAATGAGGGGCAGAGCTGCGTCACAGGTTTCAGAGTCTCTTGTACTGACTCGGAGGTTTGAACTAAATCAATCTTTGTTTCATAAGCAAGTTTGGTACATGCCACATCATGCATTTCACTTTCATATGCTTCTTGTACTAGATCAGGAGTAAGACCTTCAGGCATACTCGCTGCAATGTCAGATAGCCTATCAGCAGTGCTATCTGTTTCAGCATAGTCAGCTTCCTGGCCTTCCTGCTTGCCAACTGCTCGAGTACTAAAATCACCTTGTTCTGTGTTCTGAGCTTTCATCTCTGCAATTTTTTTCTCGTCATCGGTTCTATTTTCTGAAGTGCCTTCCTCTAGTGGAGAAAGAGATTTGACTTTGTCACCATCAGGAGTTACAGAGGATTCAAATTTAGTGCAAGTGATGTAAGTCTGAGGAGGCTCTTTTACAGCTTCTGGGGTACTTGGGAAAGAGAGATCTTCAGCACTGCCTTCACTCTCTCTTTCATAATCCTTCTGCACCACCAGCTTATCTACACCGTATTTGTTATCTAAACTGCTTTCCACTGTGCCATCTATCTTACTTCCAACATCCTCTCTCAAGCTGCTCAGTTCATGACTAGGACCTTTTAATTCCCATATTGGCTCATATGGTTTGAAGTCTACATATTCCTCCCTCTGAACAGTGTCTTTTTTCAATGCTCCCTTTTCACCATAATCACCACCTTTGTACTTGTCTTTGTTATAGAAGATATCTTCCTCAATTTTCTCAGACAAATCTTCAGGAGATTCTGGAGACATTTTCAGCTGCTGTGCAGGCATTTTCTCCAGGTTACATAATTCTTTAGGGCCCTCTAGCTGCATTTCTTCTTCAGCTTGAGATAAAATGGCTGCTTCTGCTTTAGCGAATGGGGGTTCCATTTCTGAGTATTTCATCTTAGAAATGTCTTTGTTTCCCTCAGCAAGAAATGGATTTGTTATGTTTTCCATTGTTTCTTTACAAATCTCACTTGCATTTTCTCTGTAAATGCCTCTTGCAGGTAATCCATCTGAGAGTTTATCAAAGGCTGTGTGCTCTTTAAAGGGATCAGCTGAGAGAGGAGAGAAGGAGGGAAGAGAAGCAGCAGTATCAAGTGGGACTGCAGTAAAATCCTCTTGACCAAGTGACTTAGCGCTACCTGGCTGCTCCTGCAAGTCCATAACTTTTTCTGTGACCGTGGACAGAAAGGAAAGTTAGAGAATGCAAGTGCTCTTAAAGTCAATGCAAATTTTCATGACAAGTTCACATGATGTTAGTTATGCAGAGATTCTGAGTTCTGTAACATATTACTAGCCAAAAAAACAAAGTATCGTTTAAAGTATGCTATTCTATTTCATCTCTTCTAGCAGAGAAGTATGCAGGAAGTAGGCTAGAGAAGCAGCAACTTTTTGCAGTGCAAAGATCACAGTAAAGCTGAAGATGCCAGACAAGTACAGAGCATCCAAGTATAGCAGGCAATATTGTCAAAGTGCAGAGGGAAAAGAAACAGAAAGAGGGTATGTCCATACACTTGTGCATAAATATATGCACAGACGTGCATGCCAGTAAGATTTTGTTTCCATTTTTTGTTTAAACAATGGGAATTTGGTGGACAATGTAGCTAACAAAACCCACTAAAAATATATAAAATTTTACTTATATGAAGTACTGCAGAAAGTTACTATGGATTAATTCTTTCTGCTAAATCAATAAAGCAACTATGCTTTAATGTGCTAACCTGCTAATAGTATCAACTGCTCTCTTACATCAAGGGTCCAAGAACTCACAGATGGCTGTAGTTTGTTTACAGAACAGTTTACCATGTAAATAAATGAATGGGTATTAAAATATTGAACAGATCAACTGAAAATTCAAAACTGAAAAAGAATGAGAGGCGCTATTCTTGGACCCATGCTGACTTTTAGTAAAGGCAAACTAATTGGAAAGAGTTAATGAGATCAGATCAGAAATGCAGGATGTATTCAGACAAAGGTGAGCAGAAAGAACTTGCCTGCAGAGGAGTGCATCAGAGGCGCAGATGTAGCAGGAAGAGCAAAAAGGGTCTCATCTGAAAAACAAACAAATAACCTCAGCAGAAATAAAGGCTAAATAGTTTGATGGGGGAGAGGAAGGGGAAAGGGAGGGAGGAGCGAGCAAGTAGTTCCCAGTACCTAGACAGGCACGTAGCCAACACCCACATAGAACCTCCAAACTAGATACAAGCCAGGTAATTTGGGAGAGTCAATGTTCAGAGTTCTCCCTTTGCAACAGGATCTTTACTGAGGTAACTGAGGGATCTCCACCCTTCAAGCCAAGGTCCAGTTTAGGATAAGATACACACCAGCAACCATTTTTTTTATTTTCGTTATTCAAACTTGCATACTACCAAGCAGTTTTACTACCTCCATCATTAGAAAAATCACCTGCCATTAACACACTGTCCTTAACCTACTCCCTTTGTCAGAGGGTTTCCTAGCTCCTAATATTTGTGAGAACAGCAGGGATAACAAGACTCAACCAAAAATTCTGAAAAGTTACAAGGAGTAAAGCTCTGAAACTCTCCAGAGAGTGCTGATCTGGTAACAGTGCCTGTACTCCTAGTCACTATTTGCATTATGTTATAATGTAGACAAACTTCCAAATGAAGGCATTCTTAAATCTTTCTTTGTCTTGAGTCAAGAAGACTATTTGTTTTTCTAAATTTGTATTAACCTTAATATTTCACTAGAGAAAGTTCCAGACTTCCAATTACAACCCTAAAGAGCTAAGTAAATATAAGGAAGGGCACCGTGCTCCGAAGGTAAGATAGTCACTCATAGTCACTCTGCTTCACAAATGCATGTCAAGAAGCCAGAGGATCCCAGAGTTTCAGATTTTACACTACCTGAAATAAAGGCATAACTATATTTTACAAAGCTGCATTAAACATTTAATGAAAGCCCAGTTTAGAAGCAGCGATGTCAGTAGGAACTAAACAAACCAAGACCAGTCTTCCTCTAAATTCAAGTCAGCAGCAGTATTTTTCCCAGATCTGTCATGGCCTGTTGGCATTACATTGATGTAAAAATAGTAACATTTAGGTAACTATCTTTTAATTCAAAAACTTCATACACTCTTCAGAATGAGAGTGTTAAAGAGTATTTGCAGTTTGTACTGATCGCATTTCCAGAATTGAAAATTATTTCAAAGCATTTCAATTAGATTTTCAATTTCCAGTCTAGACAACATCAACAATCTTTAGTTTTATTTGCCTGGACAAAGATCAAGTATAAAGAAGCTGAGAACACATATCGTAATTAAAAGCAAAGCGAAATAGAATCAATTGCTTTCAAATGATGAAAGGCAAGGAATGAGAAACATGGTGAGTCCAGCAGAATATAGAGAATAATCCAATGAAATTATGGTCATTCAGAGTTGAACAAAGACTTTCTCCAAAAGCAATGCCACTTCAAGAGCCTCGTGACCTGTTTGGCTTACTCAAATTATTCCCAACTGCAGTTTTCCAAAAATCAGAAGTGTTTGCACAACCTACATTTCCTGTCACAATACAGCCAGTCATTTTTGTTTTGCAGAACACTTATCTTCAAGTGATGTTTAGAATTCACAAACCATGGCAAGAGTAATAAAGTTGGAGCATAGGACTCAGTATTTAGAAGCTTCCTTAACTCCTGCCAGGCTAAAGAGGGCCTCTGTTCCGTCTTCTGGAAATTACATTTTCCTATTAAGAACCACAGAGTGCAACCTCAATTCCCAATTTAAAACTTGTTAAAACAGTGCGACAGTTCAGTGGCAGCAAAAGCTTTTAAGGATCAAACCCACACCCGAGGACAGCTGACCAATCTGATACCACAGGTCACAGCACTGCGCCACCCACCCACACACCGCCTGGCCTTTATTTCGGGAGATGCTCAACCCGCGGGCCTGGGCTCCCAGCCATCTCTTCAGCCAGGTGCTGCCCCCCCTGCAGAGCCCGCTGCCCAGCCACGCCACCAGGCCTGGAGCGAAACACGGGGGCTTCACCAAAAATGCAGCCTGAGCCATCAGCCCAGAGCGCTGCTCTGCTTTCCTGAAAATGATGCCAAAAGCAGGAACATCAAGTATTTTCCTTCAGTCTCTAGCGTGCCCACTGTGTCAAGGGCCACTGTTGAGCTTTAGATTTGGCCTCTCCCTTTGCAAAAAGAAGCAGCACTCTCTTATCCCCCAGCTTTATGCCTAGATGGACTGAGCAAGTAGCACCTCCCAGCCGTAAATATGGAGCCCTGTCCCTCTTTTTGTGTGCCAGATGCTGGTCCTACTGAAACGTTTCATACCCCTTGGTTACATGGATCAGCAGTGCCTGCATATCCCTGAGCCAAGGCCAACATCTCTTATCTCCTCACCTCTTCCCTGCCCATGACACACTCCCCTTGGAGCACTGCACACACAAACACCAGGTCCAAAGCCTCAAGGGAGCTGCCACGTGCCAGCTCACCAGGAAGCTGGCAACAAGGAGCGCTGCTCAGTGCGCACCTTCCCCAAAAACACACATTCATCTCCTCCAGGCCGTGCTGGAACAGCAAATCTATGTTTGCTGGAAAGGATTTACACTTGGGAGCAGAGGAGATGGGAAGGGAAGCAGGATGGACTTGAAGAGACTGTACAGCGCAGCATCAGGAGAGAGACAGGCACTGGAAGAAAAGGATCTCACCACGGGGAAACCAAGCACAAGCCAAAGAAGTGGGGATGCAGAAAATCTAGAAATAGAAGGGCGAAGAAAGAAGACAGTCTGCTGGGGTAAGGAGGTGAAGAGGAAATCTTTTTAATGCTTCACAAGCCCAGCGAGAGAGGTTTCTGCTGAGGAACACTGATTTTAGCAATGTGATCCCTGATGTGGTGCATTGAGACAGCACAACACGGGAACTCTCAGGTTTGGCCTCCATTTACTCAACACAAACACACAATAGCCACGCCAGTCACTGAACTCCCAGCTTCTCTTAATGGAAGGATATTATGCCCACACCCATACTTTACTTTTCACACATAGCTGGAGTGTGAAAAGGGATTATATAAAAGCAGTATTTCCTAACCAGCCAAGGAGAACCACCCACTTGCCCTCCATCCACATCAGAGCAGCATTTTTCCTGCCAAAAGGAAGATAACACGAGGACCATTTCCTGCTGTTGGCCCTGTCTAACACCTCCAGGCATGTGGAGGGGAACAGAGTAGGCCCTCTACAACTCCCACATCTGCATGACTGCTGAGGGAACCACCCATTCTCTTCAAACTGTAGCTCAAATGACTGAAGGGAATGAGTTTTTTCCAGCACTGACATTTGCACTGAGGAATCTTTACCTGTGATATAAGAATTGGAGGTAGAAACCTTTCAGAAACAACTCCGGGGGTGCTTTGCCTTGGGTGCTGGAACCAGGGGCCGGTCCCACAGAAGTTCCAGCACAGCCTGTACTTTGGAACACAGGGGAGCTCAGATATAACTTTATGACAGCCCATCAGCATTGGGCATGTAATACAGACCTGTGGTATCACGTGCTGAACAGCCCTTACTGCAGGTTTGCCCGGGTGTTTTTGTTCTGCTCAAACACCAGACTCGAGCTCATGCCTGAGCCGACTGAGGAATTGGAGGTGACTTTATCAGGTACTATCCAGAGCATGCTTCATTAAGAACAACATTCTTACCTAGATTTTAGTTTCACAAACCCCTAAGAAATATTTTTAAATACTGGGGGAGGGGGAACAGCCAGACAGGAACAAGACTTCAAAAGCTTTCCCATCACACCCCCCATCCTCACAGGCTAGCAGCTATGCAATAAATCAAGAGACTACAGGGTAGCTGTAAATTAAGAATGGGATTGTGCAGGTCAAACTGAAGATTAAAATATAATATTTCACTATGCACATACATATCCAGCCAAGGAGCTGTGCAAATTTATTTATGGTCTCATTTAAGCTTCAGTGTAGCTTTTTAAAAACAACCACCCATGTATGTGAATATATCACCCTAAGAGGAGAGGAGAAAAAGAACGTTAACACATTAATGCACAAAGTGATTCATTTTGATCTTTCTTTAAATGACTCAGCAAATTTTACCTTGACTTTATACAAAATATTCCCCCTTCCCCCCAAAAAAGTGCAGCTCTTCTTTTCATTAGCACGAACCCTCACACTCAAAAGCTCTGTAAAATTGTTTCAACTAAAATGCAAATTCCACTAACATAAAACTGATTTATGTTTTTAATTTATGTTTTGTTTAAAAATAAAAAAGTGAGATTGCAACATACGAATGAAGCATCATTTAAAACTCACATTCTGATTTTGTACCAATTCCCCTGCTAACCAGGGTTGTTATAGGAAGCCATTATTATCAGTTTAAACTGAAACTGGTTAATACCAAAGTTTTGGAAAAAGAGCACAGAATTAAATGAAGAGAAAGATTTCTGAGACAACGAAGAGAAAGTGAAGTTAGCTGCAAAACACTTCCAGAGAAAGAGAAAAACATTTTAAAATGAAAAAGTAGTAAACTGACAGTTCCTGTGAAAACAAATTATCCCAAAAAATGAATTTTCTTCAAAATATACTTGCCACCAGAAAGCAGCAAGCAGAGGACTTAAGTTTGGTCACAGAAAAAAAAGAACTGAGAAGAACATGCTTTGCCCCCATTGCTGAATTTTTGGTAACCAATGCACCTATCCACCTGCTCTCACACACAACTTTCCAAGCATCAGGTTTATGGTAAGACAGGTCTGTTGTTCTGATACACTCCTCGTTTTTATGTACGAGCTCAGTATTGAAAAAAGAGACAAAAATATTTTTTCCTTACATTGATAGTATGCTTCATCCTGATGCATAGCTTAGCTTTATTAGGGGACTGCATCAGGGAATTTGCTGATGCTAGATGGCATTTTCAGTCTTCAGAAAATAAAAAACATTTCCTGGATTAGTTTACTGGAGATTGTACATTATTCTTGCCAACTATTCTTTGTTATTTAAGAATAAAGTTTTTAAGAAACCACTTCACCTCTGCATTTTTAAGAAAAACATCAGAATGCCTGCTAGCAAGACAAAGCACTAATAAGACAGACCCACCACAATGGGACACTGATTCTGAAGAGCCTCTCTTGTTAATACAAATATGTAACAATAAAAGAACAGACAAAATAAGTGGCGTCTCATGTGGCATAAAAGTTTTATCCACAGCAATTCCTGTGGGGCTGACAGGAAAAGAAATTGCCTGCTTCTTCAACACATCAAGTTGTTAATTTGCCCACAGCAAAGACTGCCCCAAGCTGCATTATTGATCTCAAATTATTTACAGAGAATATACATATGTATTACTGCTGAAGTTTTACTCTTTATGATTCTGTGATTCTTACTGTTTTGTGATTTATTTATTTATTTTTACAGATTCAGGAACTACAAAACCCCCCCAGGTCTTTGCAGAGCAATGCTGTATCCTCACATTTTATAAGCACAAGGACAGAGTGCTATGCTTTCCCCTGCCATGTGCCTGTATCAAGTTATTACAAGTAAACTGTTACATCTTGGCATAAAGCATCAAAGTCTGTATCTGACCATTTGAGAAAGTTAATTTAAATATATTCAAGCAGAGTCAAGTTCTCAGATGCCTAATTCTGTGCTGCAGTGCACAAAAGCACACAACTTCGCAAGAACTTTGAAAAGAGCAGCTGCCTACACAGACTCCATTTAAATCACCTCCTGTTCTGATGCAGTTGTTCTAAATACAGTATTTCACCAAATATTTAAGCAATTCAAGATGAGGATTCAACGGCTAATAGCATCTTTTCATATCATTAGATCCGGCTGCAGGGCCACAGCAAACAACTAGGTTCTCTCACTCGACACTGTTTAGTCATACATGTAGTCTATAAACAGACATTTCCAGTTTAGTAAATTAGACTGTAAACTACTTGGAAATCTCAGAGAAAAGTATTTACATACAAGCCGCTACAGAAGACAGACTGCTGCAGATTCAAATGAAAACAGAAGCCCTATTTTTAACATCTTGATGTATCAGAGGTGGGATCACAAAAGGATCCAAGAATTTTATCATCAGCAAGGGCAACTGGGAGTCCTCTTGGGACTTCAGTTACTGCCAAGAGGCACCACGCATCATTTGCAGAGTAAGTTCCACTATACTGCATTGGAGACTTCTAATTTTACATTAGTTGAAACAGATCAAGAAAATGAGTTCCAAACAAGCATTTTGAACGTTTGCCACTTTAGATACTCTGTTTTATGGAAAAAAGTCTCTAGCCAGAAGCAGTGTCATCTTACTGTTTAATAAATCTATAACCAGAGTGGTTTAAGCAGCTTTTTTTCCTCCTTCAGATATGGTATTTGCATGGTACAACTCACAGCACCCTTCCTTCTTTTCAAAAAGTGACATTTGAGGGGAGTTGCTCCGCAATGCAAATACTGTTCACGGTACAAGGACACAGGTAAGCTATGCAGTCCACCTTCTTTTGGTCAGCTATAGAGTAAAAAGGGAGACTATACCAGCCCTGCAATACTCATCTACCAACCAAAGCAGGAACGGGGTACAGGGAAGATGTGTTAATGCCAGCTGTATGATGATTCCCTCCATTACAGTTGCCAAACTGCCAAAATGAATGTCCATTGTAAGAGCATTGGTATTTTGTTTGTTGTTTTTTCTTTCCTTTAAAGACCTTTAAATACTTCTGACACAGCTGCCAACCCCTCCTTGGTCTTGCATCAAATGCTGATGAATAATTTTATGGACAGGATCCAAGGGGCGTTACAGAAGACGCTTGTTTCGCCACTTCCTATCTCCAGGCTCTCACCAGTACAAGTATCCCTGTATCTCTCTGGAGCAGGGACACAATTTTATCTGGCTTTTAGGGAAAAAAAATAAGTTCACTTAAGAATAAGCAGCACATAACAAATAACTTTCACCTAGATTAACCAAAAGTCTGTCTCCTTGCCCAGCTGTATCAACTGATCTAACCACAAAGTGTCTTCTTACAGAAGTAGCATCAGGTGGTGGGTAAATATCTCCTTTTATTAATGTCAGGTGGCCACAAACATCAGCTTCAACTGTTCAGAGCTCACCTGTGAAGGCCTGAAAATACCCACTTCATCACAAATAAAGGCAAATATTTAATAGCAAGGCTTAGAATGAATCCAGAGATCTCAGATATGAATGAATATTCACAGATCAGGGATTTATATTTAAGGATTTAAATTATTTTAATGTACTTAATTTAAAATAAGAAGCAATCTAGCCAGCTACAAACACAAATCCAGCTCTACACCACCTTATAGATGAGAACTCACACTGGCAGTATTTGTAATCAAAAACTTATGGAATTAATCTAAAAACTAAATAAGCCTTCCATAAGATCTAGATTCTTTAACCATACATTGGCATAACACACAAATTTGGGTTCTGGCAGTGCCACAAAACAGAAAAACATAATTACATCCAAACTTATTCAGAAGCAGGAGGTCTAAAGAGCCATGCAAACCCTATAATTACACAGACATTATCCAATTTAATTTCAGAGATTATACCAATCATAAGAGTCCCCTTCACTGATTTGTACAGATGGAATTTTTCTCTGCTTGCTCCATGATTAAAGAAATTAAGAAATATTTAGATTAGCTACTTTATCATTGCAGAATACATTTATTAGCTAAATTAATCTTTCAGAAATGGAGAAGAGATGCTACCAATTTCTTCCAGCATCTATTCCCAACACATTACCTTGTGTGACAAGCCTCTGTCTTAAGAATTTGTAGTCTGCAAAATAAAAACAAATGGATGCATAAGGTAAGTCCGTGCCACGAGACAGAAAAAACACGGATATTCTGAGGGTTCAACAAAGCCATTACAATCATGTAAGAGTATCTTTTAAAGAAATGCATGAAGCGGTGTGAAAACATTAAATATACTATCCCAATAACCTCCTTTTAAAGGAATACGTTCAGATATCAAGTAGGGCTATAATCCTGGGTTGCAGTAGATTTTGGTCAATACAGGTTTTAACTGCCCACTTGGGTTTTTGAATCACTTAGACCACTCACATACAAAGGAGAACTGATTTTCTTATCTAACAATGAGATCTTTTAAACAAAACTTGGGTTCAAAACACTGGAAATTCCTCCCTTTGCCCTTTGAACAGCATTTCTCAAGCTGAAGGCATGAATTCTCAAAGACTAGGCCTGAAGACCAAGGAACGACCTTTCTTCCAACACTACCACATACTTTTTTCTACTTTCTCCAGCTCTTGTTCCTTTTCCTTACGGTTCTCCAGCTCTGACCTGCTTTCTAAAGGCCTCACACATGCTCTAACCATTTTGCTCGGCATTCATTTCCTTATCACAAAGGACAGAGATGGACAGGCATTACAGGCTTTTGTCTTCTCTGAGAAGAGGGACTATAGCACAGCTCAAGAAAACTGGTCACAAAACACTAATAACTGGATAAGCAGTAGGGTTTTGACATCAGACCAACAGCATCTAATGGGCCAAGAGCATTTTTAATTGGAAACAGAAAAGTTTATATTTATCTCAGTCTGCTGTCTTATTTAAAGACTTCTCAATTAACATATTCTTCTTAGCTGATGAAGTTGATGACATGATTGCTCCACTCATTAAAAAGCTGCAAGTAAAAGTTCACAATACATTCCTAAGACAAAAAGCAAGCCTTCCAGCAAAAACAGAAGGTCAAACTGGTATTCCTAGCACTTCCACACAACACCAAAGTAATATTTTTTGTATTGAAAAAGGTATGTCCCCTTTATACACTGGAAAACACTAAATGGAGACAAAGCCATTAAAAACCATGGGGAAGAGCAGTCTTAAGAAAACCTCTACGCAGAAATAGTCTTATTTTGACAGATACAGTTAGCAGCAGATTATTTCCACTTGAAAGATAAAAACATTCTAATGTAATTTGATTTTCTGACTTTATGAATATTAATAAGCCCATTAATTTATTGCTGCTGTCATAGCTCCAAATGTCAACCAGCTGTAAGTCCAGTGATCTCACTGCTACCTGTACTTTACTGCCCCAAAAGCTATCTTAAAAAGTAAAAAAACATCATGTAGTGTCTTCAAAGTGTGATAGGAGCCATTTCTATTTCAATCCATAAAACAAGATATGAAAAAAATATGAAAATATTTCACTGTTCTACTTAGACTCCCAATTCACTTTATATATGTAATAGCTTCTTTTCTTTCATTTCTAACGCAGCTCAATCAACATCTACATGATTTTCTCCTACTTTGTATATAAACATTCCTGAGTATGTCAGGACAATGTATCTGTAAGCGACATGCGCTGCTTTATGTTTTCTGGACAGTAAAACACCAAGAAGTATTTCCTTGCTTATAAAGTATCTAGAACCTGAAGGACATTTTCCGACTAACTAAGCATTCCTAATTTTTGTATCAGTTTCATAGTTACCATAGTAACATGTAAGCTCAAAAAAAGCCATTTTCATTCAAAACCTTGTTTTAACACAAAACAAAGAAAGATAATGAGCACACTCACATATGCCTCGAGTTGTAGGTTAACAGCCCTGTAGGTTAACAGCTAGAGCAACCCCGTGAGAACAAGGAAGTCACTGGTGCTGCAATACAGATGTTGAAAGACACAGACCTACTGGCCCTACTGAAACCTCGGTGGCAAGCAGCAGGATCTGCACAGAATGGCACCAGAATGGAAACGTTGTTTTCCAGGGCTAGGAGAATGAAGACTGCATGGCTTCTGCTAAGTAGCCAGGCTCCTGGATGGAATGCTCTGCAAGATCCACATCCTTCCCATCTGGAGGAAGAGGAGAGGAGGAAGGAACAGGGAAAGCAACCTCCTCACAGCACACCAACCAGAATTTAGGCTAGAAAAATGCATGGCAATTTACTGAAATAACACAAAATGCTTCAATGTTCCAGTAACAGTTCTACTTTAAGACTGCCTCCTTGCCATGCCAATTGTGTATTTTCTCTCCCTGTGAGCTGCAAAGTTGGAATCTTTTGACCTTTATGTTCCAACTACCACTCATTCCTAACTCATCGGTAGATCACTCATTGCAAAGGACTGGACACTTTCCTAGCAATGTTCTAGGTGTTCTCAACCAGAGCAAGGGAACACCACTGACCTGGAGGCTTGAACATTGCCCTCGCCTCTTCTTTAGAAGGACTGCCATCAGTGCTTATCCAGGAGATAACAAAGAGGTTCAGGTGCTCACCAGCAGTGATGCAACAGGGTGGACACCAGTTGTCACTTTGTAGACATGCTGCAAACTCCCTTAAGTAAAGGTGAGGAGGAGGAGGGGAATGAAGGGCAACCAACCAGCAGTTCTGTGGTTTGTAAGGATTTCATCTCCAAGGGAGAGCACCCAATGCAATTCAAAGCCTCCCTGTGGGCTACCTCATTATACGGTAGGTGGAAGCTGTGCTGTTTTATCTCACAAAGCAAGTCAAAGGACACCTACGCGCTAAGCAAATACACTATCAAACCTGGCAGGGCCATCCTTGCACATACATCTGGTTAACAGGAGAAATACTGGGGTTTGGGCTTCAGAATCTCTTAAAGCAGCTGGTCCCACAGCGCTTGACATTGCACGTGTGCACAGCAATATGATATAGAAAGATCATTCACTGAACGTGGAATACAAAAATGAAAATACTGGCTTGACTGTACCAGTCAAATCGCTGGTTACTCTCCCCCTCTGTACATCACTAAAACAGACACTGGTAACAGCCAGAAAAAGTCACATTCCAGCTTTGATATACACAGGTGATGACCACCTCCCTTACAGCCTTACTGACTACTTTTGGGAAGGCAGGAGGGGATACGCCTCAAAGAAATGCTGAAGATCAGCAGGAACATATTTTAATAACCAAGGGCTGCAAATGAAAGTCACCAGCAGCAGCATTCAAGGATAGCTGTATTTTTTCCAAGTCACGCTGCATTCCGTCCCCAGGCCCCACACAACTCCTCTGTGCATTCATAGCAGCGCACCGGAAAAACTCATCAATGTGGAAAAAAGCCAGAGAGTATATACGCTGCTTTAGAATTTGTGTAAAATGCAAGTCACAGGAGCTCAGGATATTTCCACTGCAGGATAAAAGGGACACTCTGTAACGAAGTGGGCAGAAGCAGGTATAGACCACTATAACTGGTATAGACCACTACATATAACTGCCCTCCTATCGCAGCTGGGGGCAATTTGGTGAGGATGAACTCTAACACAGAATAGTTTGTGCTGCTGGTAGCTTGAGGCTACTGATGGCATCCCTGCTGACCTCTGCTTGACGCAGTCTGGCACGCAGGCAGACTGTTTATGAAATCTCTCCTGAACACTGATGAATTAAAGTAAGTCCTAAAAAAAAAAAATAAATTAAAAACAAAACTAATTCATCAACTGGCACATCAGAACATTTGCATATGCATCGAGTCGCAGGCTGCTTGCATGCAAGTCATCACCTTTGTTCGCTTTGGATGCTGGTCTGCCATCCCATGAGGCCAGGCTGGCTGGCTGTGCATATGGGTTTCTTGTTAAGTGTGTGGTTAAATGGCCTACCACAACCTCCCCTTCCAGCAAAGCACTGCATAGCCTGCCTTTAGCAGGATGCACGGCTAGGATCTGGGGCTTTGAAGACAGAAAGTGGTATCTTCTCATCTTAGTTTACTTGCTGATCTTACTTTAGACAGCTTGGGGAGGAAAAAAAAAAAAAAAAAAAAGATTCATTTTTACCACGCATGACCACCTCAAACCTGTTTTTCTTTGTATGTAAATGTAGGTAATTGAGAAGATTTACGTAGAAAAGCTCAAGAAGAATAGTAAATTTTGCTACCTACGTAACAGTGAGTAGCAAGAAAAAGAAGTGCCCAAGACAGCTTAAGTTTTACTGTAGCCCTCTTGTTTTCTTCTGCAGCAAATATTTATATTAGCTCTTAAGAAGGTAGGCTGCAGACACACAGCCAGAGACTCACATTACATATAATTATGTCAGTCTCTTACAACAACACTGAATACTTATAAGTATGTAGCTGATATTAATTACAAAGATTTACTTTTTAAAGCACCTCCAGATATAAATAGTAAATTTAATGGGCCAAGAAGTTGTCTATACATTTTCTCTATTGTTATGCTGACAAAAAGCAGCACTAGCCCTTATTGTTGGATATAAAAAGAAAACCCTAGCATTCTTCACACACTTGCTATAGGCAATACTACTTTCTCAGAAATAAAATTTCAAAGCTATTTGTCTTAAAACATCATTAAATCAAAGCCTTAGATTTTTAGTATGAAGAGAACATCTTCTAGATTTCTAGATGATAGACTGCAGTTTTTCACTTATATCGTAAGCTCATAGCAGAGCTGAAAGTAAATGAAACCAAAACCCTCCAGAAGAGGGGGAGCCACCACAAACACGGGGTGATCCATCCCATAGACACCCCACCACAAGCTGCAGGCACCAATTTGATTTTGCCAATTTCACAGCAAGACTGGAAGTGAACTCACTTGAAGCAAGGTAAACATTTTGACTGAGAAATGTTAAGTATCCCTTTAAACATCAACTGTTTTTTGGTTTTACAGCAGGTTGCTGTTGAAACAAAGTACTCCTGCACCTGAGAGGACCAAAGCATTCATAGCATATCTAGACAGCGCTTCTATCAAAACAGTTTGTTCTCATCTAGTAGTTTCAAGTGCTTAAAACACAACCTGTAATGTTCCAACCCATCATTAGATGAGCATTTTATCTGCCACACCTTGTCTCTGGGAGCCAGGCCTCCCAAAGATGGCCTCCTCACTTCAGAGCTCTGAATTAGTCACCACTGATAAATTCCGTCCCCTCCAGTTAGGTCTTACAAAATAACTCTGACACCACTCCTCAGCTACACTACCCAGCCCTCCTAACTCAACCCAGTTGAGTTGTGCCTCCTCAGCTCCAAGAAAGAAGACATATTTCAGGAATTACCGTGTTCCTTGCCTTATCCCTCAGGGGTTAAGGAGCAGAAAGCAAATGCAGCTCTACAGATCACACTTTTAGCCCCACTTTTCAAAGCAACACCAAGCTTTGGTTGATCCTATTTCTCCCATTTTGTTCTGCTTGAGCCTCCATGGCTCCACTCGAGCTGCTTGCCTAGAAAGAAAAAATGACACTCGCCCATCAGACAGGATCCCTCCAGTTAAATCTGTTCCAAGTTTTTTGTCATTATCCGTCATCCAAAGGGTGGAAATAACAATCTCCTCAGCATACTGCTATGGAGAGCTAGCGAAAGCACAGGATCAGAAGGCTTCATAAGAGACAACAGCAGAGCCAACCACAAAGTCCTGGCACACGTGCAGATGAGACGCATTCTGAACCTATCCCCCCAAAACGCAATTCACGTTTAAGGGGGCTTTTTGTTGTTTCTCCAGCACCTTTTTTCACTTAAATCCCGACCACCACATTCGCTCCTGACGTGATTACCGAAACCCTGCACCTCCCAGGCGTGTATAACGCACCGACACCGGGCAGCAGGCACTCAGACAAGGCACCGCCAGGCTGAGGCATCGCCTCGCCAGCTCCCATTGTTTCCACAGCCTCTTTCCACAGCCTCACACTTGCGGCTAAGCACGAGAGGGGCCGAGGCGCAGCCGCCCCCGGGCTTGGGGACCCGCAGCGCCGCGGCTGTTCCGGGGGGCTGGGCGGGGGCCCGGGGCTGGGTCTCCCGTGCGGAGCCGCCGCCTTTGTGCGAGGCCGGGGCCGCGCTGCCCCCCCCAGGGGACCGGGGGTCCCGCGGGGGTCCCGCGGCCGTTCCCGGGCCGTTGCCATGTGCGAGGCGGCGGCCGGGCGGCGCCCCGCCCTCCCGCCCCGAGCATGAGAAAGAAGGGAGGGGAGGGGCGCGCAGGCAGAAAGAGGGGGTTTTGTGAAAAGACAAAAAAAAAAATACAAAGGGGATGAAGCACAAAGCCGGCTTCCTGCACGGGGCGCGGCGGAGGAGCGGGGCCGCGCCCGGCAGACAAAGGCGGCGCCCCCCGCCCGCCCCGCGGCACTCACCGGCCGAGCCCGAGGCTCCTCGCTTGCGGGCCGCGGGGGGCTCCGCCGGGGGCTGCTCCCGGGCGGGGGACGGCGTGCTGGCGGCGGACGACGAGGAGGAGGCGGCGGCCGCGGGGCTCCAGCCGGGCTGCGGCGGCTCGGGGGCGGCGGGGCGGGGCGGCTCGGCGGGGCCGCCGGGCTCCGGCTGCTGCTGCTGCTGCGGCGGCCGCTCGGGCAGGGCTGCGGCGGGCGGCGGGGCCGGCTTCCTCTCCATCACCTCCAGCTGCTCGTCGAAGTCCTCGTCCTCCTCCTCCTCCTCCTCCTCGTCCTCCTCCTGCTCCTTCTCGTCGTCCAGCACGAACTGGTAGTTGAACTGGGGCTGCTGCGGCCGCGGGGGCCCGGAGGAGGAGGAGGAGACCAGGGGCGACTGGTCCAGCTCGTCCATGGCGCCGGGAGCGGGCGGAACAATGAGCGCGGCGCGGCTGGGGCTGGGCTGGGCTGGGGCTGGGGCTGGGGCTGTGCCGCTGCCGGCTGCGGGCCCGGCCTCCCCGCCCCGGTGACTCACCGCTGGGGGGGCGGCGGGGCGCGGCGGCTGAGCGACGTGGGCGGCAGCCAGTGGGAAGCGGCGGGGGCGCGGCTCGGCCAATGGGGCGCGGCCGCCTCATGAATATGCATGAAGGGGCGGGACCCGCTCCCAGCCCCAGCCCCGCGCTGCCGCCGAGGATGCGGCGGGGCCGGGGCTGGGGCCGGGGCTGGGGCCGGCCCGGAGCGAGCTCCCCCCGGGCTCCGCAGTGCGGGGGAGCCGCTGGCTGGGCCGGAGCAGCCCCGGGGCCGGGCGGGTGCTGGGGGACGCGGCCTCAGCGCAGCGCTCGGTGCGGCCGGGAGGGCGTGAGGCGGTGCTGGCGCCGCGCCGCCTGGGCGCAGCGCGGACATCTTGAGGCGTGTGGGGGCCTGGAGGCAGCGCGGGGCTGGCGGCAGCCTCCCGGGGGTGCCTCGTTTCCAGCCGCAATTTGTTCAAGGCACCGCATTTTCCCGTTGTTCCCTTCCCTTGAAGCTGTGCTTTTCTCTGAATTTTAATTCCTGAGCTGTTTGAAGGGATGCGCCTTGTCCATCCCCTGCCTCCTTCAGCTCAGTTGGGGCCAGGTGAGGTTTTTAGGAGGCTGTACAAAGACATGGGTGTTCCCTGCCTCTACCAGGCACAGCTGGAAGGAAAATGGGAAGAATTTGTATAGCAGCAGCAAAGGCAACACCATGGGGATACCAAATTGCACAGCTGGTGAATAAGCACTTAACTAAAGACCTGTAAGGTCTTCAGACTTCATTCTTCCTTTCTTCCCCCTAAGATTTTGTATCTTCTATCGACAAATTGTCCGTGCACATTTTCAAACCAGACCTTTTTACAGTGCTGTAAGGGATGCTGCAGTGGCAGCGGGATGGATGGATGCAGTTAAAATAAATGTGTTGTGAAACATAAAACTTGGAAGTTTTAGTAGTGGCTAAATGCTATTCCTAGTTGTGTTGTTACAGCCAGTGGACTGCATCAACAGAACTAAAGCCAGAAAGGGCCCAGGAAAATGAAGACATAAACTTTTCTTCTTTTTACTTACCTATTGCTATATCTACCCCGTGTCCTACAGCAGCTGCCATGGTGCTGGTGCAAGCAAAGAAGATGTCAGCAGTGGTGTGCTCCTCCTCCCAGCTGGCCAATGCAGAGCACATGCGCGGGGGAAAGTGCTTGCTTCAGGGCAGCGTCGAGTCTCAGAGCATTTTAACACTTTGAAAAAGATTAAAGTGCATTAAGAAATTAGTAACAATCTGGTGAGGATTTTTATCTATGAAAATACCAGGCCGGATTTAATGACTTTACAGATGAATGTAAGTCTGTGATCTTCAGTGGCATTTTACCCCATTCACTGGTAGATGACTGAGCCTGAAATATTTCATAAAAGGAAACTTCAGCTTTTCTGCGTACTCATTTATTACATAATATGAAAGTATACTTTTTAAAAAAAATTGTAAATCTGCACTTTTTGTATAGCAAATAAAAATATTTTGATTGAGTAAGCTCTTTATAATTTCACCAGAAAATCTCATTTTCACATCTCTTAGTTAAACAAGAAAATGGGAATTTTAGCATTCCATTAAAATATACTTTTAGGCAACAAAGTACTTTTAATACTTCATAAAATTCTGAATGCAGACACAGTGCTGAAAGTAACTTTAACATATCTAGCCACAGTGCTTTTTGGTCTTCTACAAGTAGGAAAAATCTATATATAATTCAGTTGATTTTATCAGAATGCTTGAAAGCAAATCCATCATCAGTTAAAGAGAAATGAAAGGGATTTTTATTTAGGGAAAGGAAGTGACTAAAGGTCTTGGAGGGAAACAGGAAGGGAGTTCCAGATTGCTTAGGCAAGTCAAATTAACAAGTGAGAGGGAAACACAGCTCTCCAGTACTGAACATACACCGCAAAATACCCTTTTAGCTCTCAGAAAAATATTTTACTATTCTTACGTGAAGATTGTCAGCAAGTAGGAGTACTTTGCAGATATTGAGCAAGCTAATTTACAGATTTTCATGAGATGTTTTCACATAGCAAACTTAGGAAGAAAACCATTCAGTTTGGTGTGTTTCTGAATGTCCACAGCAGAGCTGACAATGGCCATGGACTAGCTGTATTTTCATCTGTCCACCATGACCTTCTGCCTGACCTTACACAGAAGCAATATGGTATCACAATATATCATCGACTAGGTGCATAATGGTGAGGGGACAAACGCCGTGTTATGCTGCGTCACAGCGGGTTCCGACAGGAAAAACATTTAGTCTCAAGTAGCAATTTAAAAACCTGGAGTTAACATTACAGCGACAGCTGGATTTCTGTCCCTCATTTTAAGCTCGAAATACGATCCCCTAGGTTTCAGACATCATCTCTTTATCTCTGGAAGGATAAAAAGTGGCAGTGCCTTTGCTTACAGATTATGCCTGTGCTGCCATGCCTTGGGCATCAAGCATGTTTACCTAGCACTTGTGTCTTGGTTTGAATGCCCCCTGTACTTCTTTTCAAGATCAGTAGTGGGATATTTTACAAAATCACTCCTTAGTTTACTAATACAAATGCAGCATACTAAGAGAAAAAAGTGTTAAAACAACAGCACAGAATGGATTGCCAGCTCCTGATGGTAACAGGCAGGTTCACTCTATCAGAATTTTCTCTCCTGCCTTTCAGCCTGGTCCTCTGCAATAATTAATATATTCTTGACAGTCACTTTTTAAACCCTTTATGTTCTTTTGTGTTCCAGGCACTTCCTATTCTGCACTTGTAACTTTACTGTGAGCTGACTTAAGTTGAGCCAATTTTTCTGCTTTTTCCCCTCCAATATCATCTCGAAAAATCAAAGCAGCCCATTTCTACAGGAAGGGTCCATATAGCCCCATCAATATACAGTATTCTGGTTTAGATCTGTCACAAAACATGCTTTAAAACCTCCTTCAGCCAGCCAGCTAGTGGGGTGCTGCATCACTCCATCTGCATAGATGAGAGTGGTTTGAGGTCAGCTCCAAATTATGTCAGCAGGCACAAGTGCAAAGTTACCATCAGCTGTAGCTTTAAATTCCTGCATCCAGGTAATTTCTGCCGAGGACACAACTTGGTTTATTTAAGCTTCCATTCAAAGGAACCAGCTGATGTACAACATTAAAAATGACATTGCAACGGAGGACAAGAATCTATTTGCTCAACCATTAAGCTATACGAACATATGAAGCATACCAATGATAATGCACAATGCTCTCCAGCAAACAAGGCTATGACCTAAAGTATTCACCTCATTAAAACTGCACGGAAATTCAACTTAAATTGGATTTTGGTCTCACTACTCTTTCCCTCGCAAACAAACCATTAAGCCTAAAATACCAATTTTATGCTTTACTGATGTTGTGGGACCCTAAGCAGTGATGTCCTTCCACACCCAAATAAGACACTGTTTACACTGAAGAAAGATGCGACTTCTGTGCAAAACCATTCCAAACACTGTAGCACTTCCATGTTCCTGGATAACCTTTTGTCTAAGTACTGACCCCAGCTAAGGCTACTTCACTTGCATGACTAACAAGTTCTCAACAAGCAGATAGTGGGGATTTAAAATAAGTATTTTCCTTAAAGTCCTCTCCTCTCTGCCCAGTCTGGGAGGTGAGGGTTGGACGCTCAAGGGAATACGCTGCTGTGAATCAGAAAAGTCCTTAAGTGAAAACAATGATTACATTCTTACATCTCATTATTACAGCAATGCGATATATTAATAAGAAAGTTAATTAAATAAATGTATCCATTCACACTTAATAATAGTGTATTAGAGAAATAAAACCATGGAAGTGTGGGAGAATGACGTGCGTTGAACAATTTTCAATAACACTATCAAAATTCACCAGGTCACTGTAGAAAATTTAAGCATACAAGAATGTGAAGTCCTCTGAGACTGTCTGTGAACATTCATAAAATTCTCTAAGGAATCAGAATGAATAGTGCAAATTTTTCAAATTATACAGAATATAGATAATTCCCCAGTTTAGTTCCAATACTGCTACTATTCAGTCCCTCACACCTCTAAGAAATAAAATTAAATTATTCACTTACCAGTTTGGCCACAATCATTCAGACTCCCAAGGAACATAAGAACGACAAGCTTCACTGGACCTAGACACAAAAAATCCATTCACTATTAGTAACTCTTGCAAGCAGATCAAGGTAGTATAATAATTACTTTTTATAATGCAAGATATCCATTTATTATGATATCTGTATCATAATGCATGATATACGTTTAAGCATAAATGCTTAAAATCACTATCAAGTTTAGGTCTCAGCATCCCTCACTAAATCTGTACCCATGCACATGTCTACACTCAAACATTACAGCCTTGATTCTTAGCCTTTTTTTAGAGCTTTATTATGTCTCTATTTTATGCAAACATATAAATGTATGCAAACATATAAGTGTTTCTTCCCTGTGTGCCTGGGGATTCAATGGAGGAAAGAGCCCACTGATGCCCAGTACCTTTCAGGTCCTTTGGATGGACATATTTGTGATGTCCAGTTCCCAGGGAGTGAGGAAACGAGGCTGTACTCATTACCACACACATTAGAACACAGAAAGAACAGTTTTACAAGCTACAGCTGTAGTTTTAGAGCAGGAACAGAATTTGGATGGCGTGTTGCAGGCTCAGAGTATCTAACACTGCTCGACCACTGATTTCTGAACTTGGAGTGTACAAATGACTGAGCTGAATTAGCTGAACAAACTAATTGAGGAAAATGTGTTCCCTGCATCTTCAGGGGAAGACACAGGTGGCAGGGGCTGACCTGGCAGCCCCACCATTCTATTCCAGATGCTGAGCTTGTGATTCTGCTAGCTCAGTGACTTGAATTTACAATTCCAACAGCAAGCATGAACTATCTGAAAATATAGCGATTTAATCACACTGTTGTAATAGCTTCAAACAAAAATAGTTAAAAAAATATTGGGAATTCATAAAAGCTATAGGAGTTTGGATTTATTTTTTTAAAGGGA